ATCAACTAAAGCTCAAAAGCAAAACGGGACCATCTGGATATGAGGATGTTCACTGCTGTATTGTTTACATTGTTTCCTATAAGAGAATAGGCCAATAAATTATGGCCAATCCATACAACAGAGGAATTTGTAGTTATTAGGCACGTTTTTTTTAAGAATGTCTGACATAGGAAAATGCAAGCTACAAACCTGGATACCGTAATAGACCAGTTATAAGAAAAAATTATGTGCATGTACACTCAGATAAAAAGCCTTGGAGGAAACACATCAAAATGTCTACAACGATTATCTCTAGGTGATTTTTCTATTCTTTATATTTTTCTGTATTTTCCAACTTGTTCCTAATGAATATGTTATTTTATTAGCATCAGAAAAAAATTTTTTTGCTTTGTTTTCTGTTTTCTTGTTTGTGTGTTTGTTTAATCAGAAAAATTATTTCTAAGACCAAAAAATTACAAACTAACCTTTAAAAAGGTGATGTTTGAATGCTGGTTATTCATCATGCAGGATGCTCCTATCTGTCCCAGCCACAACAGAAATTATTTCTAAGACCAAAAAATTACAAACTAACCTTTAAAACGGTGATGTTTGAATGCTGGTTATTCATCATGCAGGATGCTCCTATCTGTCCCAGCCACAACACCCATCTTTGCTAAACAGCAACCTGCATGCTTGGGAGTCTCAGAAAATCTTCACCACCTCCACCCACTTCACTTTACCTCTTCCTTTTCATCTTCTTCCCCCACCCCATGGCTCTTCCCCCTTCCCTAGTCTCTCGTGGAGAAACTGGGCTCTCCCTGAAGCTTATCTTTCTAACAATGAAAGTTTTGATTTTGTCAGGATTCAAGGCTGCTGAGCTCCCCTTCTACAAGGTCCCACACAATCTGGCCCCTATTCCCACCACCTCCACCTCCACCCTCACCTCTCTGACTCATCACCCATCACTTCCCCAACCCCAGGGCCTTTGCACAGGCTGTTCCTTCTGCCTGCATGGGTCTCCACCAGGGCTCATTCTCTCATCTGTATATGTATTGGCATATTATATAGTGTCCATGAATTTTCCATCAGGATAATAAAGAGTGTTGTAAAATATTTTTTATAAGAGGCAATGGGTCTGACAAGGCTGAGGACCACTACTGTACTGTGATTGCTGGTTGTCATTTCCTTCTCTCGCATTAAATTAGAAACTCCAGGAGGGCAGAGACTGAGTTAAAGTGTATTTGCTGATCTAAAATGAATGAACACATGAGCAGGCTGGTGATACCTAAGGGGCAGGGAGGTCCGCAGAGGCAGCTGCAGTGTGAAGCTTCAACCCCCTTGGCTTGTGAGAGGTGAGGCACGCCCTCCATGCACCCGTGCTGGGCTGGCCAGTGTGTGGAGGGACCTGACTGGGAGGCCATGAGGACATACTACACTGAGTCAGGAAGTCCCAACTCCAAAGCGAGGCAGATCTGGGGGAGCCAAGGGTCTGGGAAGGGGAGAACAAGGAGCTGCCCACTCCCACATCTCTCCAGAACCATCATGTGAGCCATCACTGTTCACAGGCCTCCTTTCTGCTGAAGGCTATTTAGCCTCACAGAGACCACAAGGCCCAAGACTGTTCCATGTCCCATGAAGGCACATGGACCCATGGGTGAAGGAAAGTCTCCCTGAGGATCAGGAGTCCAAGGCCTGAGCTAGAATCCCAGCAATCTTAGGCATACCACTTAACTTTTCTGCATCTGTAAAACGGAGTCGCTCCCACCTACCCAGCCCCCAGCCCTGTGCTGTGAATCAAATAAGACTGTAATCAAGAGAGTCTTAGTAAACCAAGGACAATGCAAATGTTGGTCAGCATTATACATAGTAACACTAGTTTTACGCTGAGCATAATTAAATCTTCAGCAATTGAGAAGGCCCTCCAGGAGCCTCACATTATCGTTGTCAATGTCACGTACCACCGAATAGTTATTTGGATCGAATTCTGATTGTGGGAACTTTCATGGCATTTAAATTCCAAATGAGCGAGGCTTTTCTATCACCTATCAAAGTATGCTGGTTACAGGCTGGAGTCCACGCTAATTCTTTGCTGGTCCCCACACGCCTACGCCATCCCCTGGATGAAGGGAGGGTTTGCCTACTTCTGCAGAATGTATTCATTTGAGCAGGAAGCCAGGCTCTGGTGAAAAACCATCTCTCAGACTCCACCCTCTTCCTTTGATCCTCCCACTGAATGCTGAGCTCGAAAGACAGAAGCTAAGCCGTTCAGATGTAATTATTTTAATTCAGCCAGATGCTGGGAATTAGTCTCTTTTCCTTGCAAGTATTCTAGGGAAAGACAGAACTCAGCCCAAGATGCCCCAGAAGAAAAGGAGCTGACAATCTCAGGAGGAAGGGAGGGAACCTCCACCCCCCGGCCCCCCTCACCTCCCACCCCAGCTCCCCAGCGCTGGAACAGCTTAAATCAAGAAAACTGCTGCCATCCCTGGATGAAGAAGAGAGGAGTGGGGAAGGAGGGAGGGGCCTAACAGACAATAAATGAAGACTGTTTACCAACACCTGGATGCTAGACGAGTAACAGCAATCAGCATTGTCTAGAGCTTCAGGATTTCCAAAGCACTTTCACTTATGTTACCTTATTTGATTATAAACTAGGAAGGGAGTCACCAGCTGGGCTAGAAGCCTGGGGAAAAACTGAATGCAGGCTTCAGGGAACTCAGATTCAATCTTTCCTAGGTCCTTGTTAGGCACAGTCACCTTTGTGATCTCCTTTAATCCTCACAACAACCCTATCAGCCCAATTTACAGGTGAAAAACTGAGGCTCTGGGAGCTTAAACAGAAGCTCTGTTCTAGATGTCAACTGGATTCTCTCCCTTGTCTCAGCTCCAGATTCTCAGCGAACACAGGTGGAGGAGTTTTTATCATTACCTGCAACTAAACACTTGGTCCATGCTTCCTATTCATCCGTCCCGTATTTATGACAGACCCTCAGTGAACACCTACTTGCACCAAGCCCTGTGCTCAGTGTGTGCAGTGGGTGAGGTTTGGAACCTCTGAGGGAAACAGAAGAGCAAAGCAACCAGAATAAGCAGCTGCATGTGAGTTCCTTTGGTCACCTCTACACTGCCCTGTACTATCGATTCTGTTGTCCCGTGTCTTATTCTCTAACTAGAAGCCCCTGGAAGCAGAGTTTGTGACACCACAGCCTGGTGGTTAACGACTTTGGCTCTAGAACCAGAACTGCCTGGGGTTAAATCTCTTTTACTCAGTGGCTGTGTGACCAGGACAGGTCACATAACCACTCTGTGCTTCAGTTTCCTCATTAAGATGAGGACCATAACACATCACACTACATAATACATGATATATTACAACACATGAGATAAATAGGTCAATTCATGTAAACTACTCAGCAGTGTGTGGCCCAGGATAATTGCTCAATTAATGTGAGCTGACACGATTATACCTCTACACTAGCAGTTCTCAAAGTATAGGCCAGGAACCCAGGGGGTCCATGAAGTCAAAGCTATTTTCATAACAATGCAAAGACGAAGAGTTTTCCAGAGGTTACCTCACAGTGATATCACAACAGATTGACTGCAGAAGCAGGTATGAGAATCCAGCCGTCTTCTATAAAGCCACACATTAAAGGGATTTGCAAAAATGTAAAACATGGCCACTCTTCTCACTAAATGATTTTTATATTGGAAAATATAGTTATTTTTCAAAAATGTGTTATTTGTGTTAACTATAATGAGTTCAACTATTGTTCTTTTTAAGTGAATTAATATACACTTTTTAAGTTTTCTGTTTTATTTTCTAATATGGTAGATATTGATAGATAGCTACAATAGTTGCACTGACTTCCCAGGAAGGTCAGAAAATCTTGTCTCTCTTCCACATTCCTCCCAGCCCCAGGCTTCATCTTGTGTTCAAGCTCTGCCCCTCCCTGCCTCTGTCTCTGCCTCCTCCTCTCCTCTCCAGGACCCCCCACTCTCCCACCTGTGGCTCCTAATTGACTTATGAGGCCCTCAAACTGGGGTTGTTTGTGGGGTGAGCCCAGATCTTAGAATCAGGCTGCCCTGGATTAAAACCACTACTGCTGCTTATTGTTCTTGAACAGATGACAGCCTCTCTGAGCCTCAATTTCCTCATCCATAAAATGGGAGTAACACTTTAGTACCTATCTCTTAAGATAATTGTGGAGCACTGAAAAGTTATGTCAAACTTGACAAATAATTACTACTACCATTAGATATTTTATTGTTATTATTAGCCATCAGGTCCCCGGGTCCCTTCTTGGTGTGCTCAGCTACCTCTTCAGCTGTCCTCACCTTCTGCTTTTCCACAGCCCTACAGAAGCAGCAAAACCACGGGCTGCCTGGGATTGCAGACGCTGGCTTCCCAGCATGCATGCGTGCGCGCGCGCACACACACACACGCTCACTCACTCCCTCAACCCCACGCAGGGTGTCACCCTACTCCAGAGATAAACGCATGCGTGCGCGCGCACACACACACACACACACACACACACACACACGCACACACACGCTCACTCACTCCCTCAACCCCACGCAGGGTGTCACCCTACTCCAGAGATAAAAATGAAAAATGACAACTAAATGTCAAGCGCCCAGGCTCCCATCAAGACTGAAAAGGCCCCTCTGCTGCCAGTGTCGGTGCCAAGGCAGTCTTGGCTCAAGGACACGTGAGTGGCACTGTGATGGGGAGTGGAAGGAGCCCTGGCATGGGAGCCAGGGGACCAGGGTGCCCAGCTCAGCTCTGCCGCTGATTGTGGGCGAGTTCCTTCTCCTCCCTGGGCCTCAGTCTGCTCCGCTGTAAAAAGGGAAGACACTTTCTTGCTCTGATTCTGTGACAGCCAAGTCAGAATCAGGAGCCCGGCCTACCCTGGGTTCCCTCCAGGGATATACATGGTACTTGGTCACAGGGAGGCCACCTGCCCTCATCACCGCCCCACCCCCACCAGGTCTTGTCCTGGAGTCCCTCTGCCACTCACCCTACAGTTGCTGAGCTCCTCAGCGGACAGGATGATGGTGCCACATTTCTTCCCTGGGACACCACTGGGAGAGGAGAAGATGAAAGAATGGAAAGCCAGACAAAGACAGAGACACAAGCTGAATCCTCTCTGAATCAGCCCCTCTCCAGCCACGCCCTCCCCTACCATTCAGCAGATCTGCCCCCAGCCCCTGAGAAGACAGAGTCTCCTGCAATGCTATGGCAGTGTGGCCTCGTGCACTGCTTCCCGGGGCCAGGCAGCCGGGCCTGGACCTGCCCCACCCCCTGCTCCCTGAGAGCCCACCAGAAAGGGCAGTGTCTGCAGTGAAAGTCCTAGAATCGGAAAAGCATCTAGACTCACCCGGAGGCTTCCAGACCAGTGGTTCTCAAACTTTCCATCCAAAGACCACTTCTGTGGGCAAAAGACCTCGTGGGCTAGCCACCCCACCCTGCACCCAGCTGACCCCCAGAGTCCCGGAGCACTGCAGCTCTGAGCCGCTCTGATTCCTCAGGGGAGGGAGAGCAGCAAGAGGGAGGACAGCAGGAGGGCTGGTGCACTCTTGGCAGCAGCTTGCCCAGCCTTTCTCCCTTTGCTGCCTCCCCTTGAATTCCTTGGCTGGGGTCTCCCTGGGGCTGAGAGATCCGAGCCAACTGTGCACCTCCTCAGTAAGATGGGCTACCAGGACAAGGTCCGTGAGGTCTGTCCATCCCAGGGAATCCTCTCTAGGAGGGCAAGTTCCCAGGGTGAGGCTCCACCCAGGGGACCTGCACCATCTCTTCCCCTGGTCAGGTGAGACTCCCTCCCCCAGGCACCAGTCCATCCCACTCTGATGTTTGGGACTAAGCCAGGGGTTCCTGGGAGAGGAAAATATCACGTTGTCCAGCTGTGGGACTGACTTTGGGTTCATTATTGCACCTCTCTGTGCCTAGTTTCCTCTCCCATAAGATGAGTGTTATTGTAGCATCCACTTTACTAATATGCACACACCGTGCCTGGCACAGACAACGCCCTCACTGAGCATCACGTCCCTCCCTGCATCCTTTACTTCACAGTTGTGTAAAGCTGGTAAAATCCAGCCCCATGCCTCAGGCCAGCCCCAGGGCCACCGGCATGCTGTCTGTGGAACACACTTTGAGAACCACTGATGGAGCTCTTCCCAGTGCCAGCTCTTGGAGGGAGAGGCTCTCAAACAGAGGAGGCAGGGGAGGAAGATGAGCCGGCCCCAGGGGTGGGGCTTTGGGGGCGGACAAGACAGCCCAGATCTCTCCAGATCAGGTGAGCAGAGCAGGGGCCACATCTGGAGCTTCCCCTGACACAGGCAGGTGGCAGTACCTGCCAGCTTGAGCCCTTAGACTTGAGCAGCTGAGCTGAGTGCCCCTAAGCCCCTCCCCACCCCCTGGTCTGGTCCTCCATGGTAGTAGAGACATGATTTGTTTGCCCAGGGAGATAGGCTCCTCCACACCAGCCTCCTCCGCCCCATGCTTCCCCATCTGTTCCTCTCTTTGCCTCTTGAGTCCTTCTTCTATTTCCGATCTTTCTTTCTCTCCTCTCCAGCCCCAACCTGCTCCCACCTGCTTGGCCTTCCTTTCTCTCTCTCTCCCTCCCTCCCTCTCTCTGGTTTTTCTTTCTCTCCCTATATCTGTCTCTCTCTCTTTCTCTGACTCCTGCACCTTCCCTGATTGCTGCTTATCTACTCTTCTTGCAAATTCGTATCCACACTCTTCCTAGGCTGTGAGCTTCCCTAGGTCCCCTGAAAGCCCCTTCCCCACATGCAGCTGGTCTGGTGGTGAATCCAGCTGCTATGATCCAACTGGGAGCAGGCCAGGGGAGCTCTGCTTACCCTGCTGGAATGCCCTTCTGCAGGAGGCACCTCTCCTCACCTCCCATGCTCCCTGCCCTGCCCCTCCCCCCAGCAGCCAGGGTGGCGACTATCCACCCAGAAGAGAAGGGGAGGGATGGAGGGGGAGGGTCTGCATGCCCACATTTGCATGAGGCCAGCCAAAAGCAGATGGTCAGGGTGGGGCTGGGGGAGAGAGGATGGGCCACCACAGCTGGTGAGCAAATGTGAAAAGTGGGGATTCAGCTGAATCTACTCTGTGGTGAGGAAGAGGCTGGCATCCAGCAGTGAAAACAATGGCGGGGAAGAGGTGTGAGGGAATGAAGCGAAGGGAGGGTAAGAGAGGGAGAGAGAGGGCTGGGAGGGGGCAGAAACGAGGAAACGGAGGGGCCCAGCCCTGCTGATTCCTGAAGCTCCACCCTGCTCCTTGAAGTCCCATGAGCCCCTGGGGCTCAGGATGCCCAAGCTCTATCCTGGGGGGATGGGAGGAGAGGAGAGGCCAGCCACAGAGTGGGAGCCTCTGTGCAGGGCCCAAAGTGCCTGGGTCCCTGAGGAGGGACCCTCTCTGTCTCCTTGACCAGGGATGAATCCACAGTCGTAGCATCACAAACTGGGCTCCGAGACCCCCTTTTCAGAGCTGGCTGAATGTCTGAGGACTCTAGGGCCAGAGATGTCTGGTGACCTACCCGTTGGACACAGCTGGCATGGGTTTGCCTGTCCTGGAATTCAGGCTGAATGCTCCTATCCTGTGGAGAGAGAGGGAGAGAGAGCACACCATGAGCCAAATATCCCGTCCAGAGAGGCCAGAACACTTGGCACTCAGATTCTTGGAGACAGGTTTCTTTTCTGGAGATCCTTAAAACAGGAAGGCCATAGGCCAGGGGAATGAGAGGTCTTGCTCCCAGACCTTGTTGTGAAGCCCTGGACAAGTTACTCTGTCTCAGAGGTTCTCAAAGTGGTGTCTCTGGACCAGCAGCATCAGCATCCCTGGGGAATGTGTTAGAAATGTACATTCTCAGGCCCCACCCCACACCTACAGGATCAGAAACTCTGGGGGTGGAGCCCAGCAACCTGTGCTTTAACTGAGCCCCCAGTACCCAGAACGTGACTGTATTTGGAGAGAGGGTCTTTAAAGAGCTAATGAAGGTAAAGTGAGGTTATGAAGGTGGGCCCTAATCCAATACGACTGGTGTCTTTACGAGAAGAGGAGATTAGGACAGAGACACGTGGAGGGATGGGCACGAGAAGACAAAAGGAAGAGAAAGTCGACAGCCGTCTAGAAGCCAAGGAGAGAAGCCTCCAAAGAAGTTAACCATGAAGACATCTTGATCTCAGACTTCAAGCCTCCAGAATTGTGAGAAAATAAATTTCTGTATTTAAGCCACTCAGCCTGTGGTATTTGCTACAGCAGCCCTAGCAAATTAAGATGGATTTCATAAGCAAAACACTGACCCTCACGTCTGCCCAGAATAGATGCCCAGTAAACAGCTGTTCAGGTGGTTTAGACAGGAAGACAACTAAACTGAGACACATGAAACCTTTGCTGGGGGGTAAAATGTCCGTCTCCTCCACCAACATTTCCATCAACCTCTATATTTTAGATCTTGCTGTCCTTTAAGGCTCAGCTCTCAAGCCATCTATAGGAAGTCTTCCTCAATCCCCCCCAGAAGGTGTGCCCCTCCACCAAAGGTGAGTCACGCAATAGTAGGCAGGAAACAGACCCAAATAACTAGAGGGCTTTTGACCCAGGCAGGTGGGCGATGAGAAGTACAGACACACTCACTCCTGGGGCCTCTCCAACCCGGCAACCCGGGGGAGCCACGGTGGAGGTGGGGCGGTGGGGTGGAGGCAGGAGGGGCTGCTATAAAGGTCCAGTGCTAATGGATGTGTAATCCTTAGCCCGGGGTTACCACTGGGACAGGCGAGTGGGGCAGATGTTCCTGAGCCCCTCACTCCACTCTCACGAGCCCCTTCCAAGGCACAGAGAGAAAATAAAATTATAAACAAAAGTTGTTAGGGACATGTCCAAGGGGGGCCTCTAGCAAATCTGAATGGAAATTTTGTGCCCTTTTTTGAAGAGGTCCCCAAATCCTATAAGCTTCAGAGCCCCCAAATGTGGGGTTTTCTCTCTGTTTTTAATAAATAATAGCTATTATCATTATTTTCTGGGAACCCAGAGATGAGACCATTTTGGGGGCAAGGAGACCTTTCTGGGAGCCCTGAAGTAGTTACCACACAGTTACTGGAGGTCACAGACAAGGACCTTGGAGAGAGACTCCACGTGTGCATGCCGTCTCTCTCTCTCTCTCACACACACACACACACACACTGCAGTTACTGATCACGGTGAGGGGACAGAGTCCAGTGTGAACTTGGCAGGAGCAAGCACAGGCTGATGCCCAGCCCTGCCTGATCCCTCTTTTCTGCCTGCCCTGCCCAGTGACCTGGATGCTTGTCCCCTGCTGCAGGCCTCTCTTGCCTGGGCCCTGCCCCTGGGGCTTCCTGAGAAATAGGGACAAGAGAGGTCACCCCCACCAGCTGACCGGCACTGGTTGGTCCTTGAAGCCACCTTCAGGCTCCATTGTGAGACACCTTGGGCGTCCTCATCCCAGAGGCTGCTCAGAGTAATAACTTTCTCCCAAAAACACCTTAAGGTCCTATATGCAGACTGTGAGGTCGGTGTGGGATGGGAAGGGCCTCACTGCACCCAGCTCTGATCTACAAAAAGCTGTGAACAACCTGAGGAATATGCTATGTGAGTAGAGCCCTGGTTCAAGTCCCAGCTTGCCCACTTCCTAGCTGTGTGGCCTTGGGCAAGTCACCTCCCTCTCTAGGCTTCAGTTTCTTCCCACATACAATGACAGCTTGAGGAATATGCTATGTGAGTAGAGCCCTGGTTCAAGTCCCAGCTTGCCCACTTCCTAGCTGCGTGGCCTTGGGCAAGTCACCTCCCTCTCTAGGCTTCAGTTTCTTCCCACATACAATGACAGCAGGGTGGGGGTGGGAATGAACTAGGCAGTGTCTCGGGCCTTCCCAGGAGTATGTGGTTCTCATAACCCAGTCTGGGTCCCTCCAAGATAACTGGGTTAGAAGCCCTGTGAGGGCAGAGCCCAGGGGGTCTCCTTGTTCCTAATCACCCTGCAAACACCCGCCGTGACTGGGTGACTGCTCTGCCCCCACTCTGAGCCAGCCCTCAGCAGGGTGGGCAGGGAGTTGACCCATCACGGGGGAAGCAACCCAGCCAAGCTGTACCCCCTTCTACACTTACGTGAGGGGCTTCTCCAGGCGGCTCCCAGGGGACCCCACAATCTCTCCAAGGGTGCAGAAGGCCTGGCCCAGGAAATCCTGTGTATCAAGGGGACAGAAAAGACCAGTATCACCCACTCTGCTCACAGCTATCCCACCTCTCCCATCACCCAGCCTGTGGAAGTATGAGGGCTGTGAAATGACAGGACAAAGCATCAGACACACTGTCACAGTGAGGCCCAAGGCCAACCCAGAGTACGGCATTTAAGAAACCTTATGGAATCTCTAGGCAGTGACTGGCAGAACTCACGTGTTTGGATAAATCAGGGCTCTTGGAGTCAACATCGTATCTGCAGGGAACACAGAGAAATGGTGAGGGCAGCTGGGGGCGTCCTGCCCAACCCTGCCTGGGTCCTTGAGTTGAGTCAGGGCCCCTGCCACCCCCCCCAAAAAAAACCAGGCCCCACTGCAGTGGGTATTTCTAGGAATAATGGTTGGAAGGCAGGAAAGGGAGCCCTCTGGGTGCTGGACATGTTCTGTCCCTTGATCTGGGAGGTGGTTACATGGGTGTAACCAGATGTAGAAATGTATCATGGGGTGGACTCAAGATTTGTGTACTTCACTGTATACATGTTACGTGTTAGGGGCTGACCAGTTAGCTCAGTTGGTTAAAGCGCCACCCTGTAACTCCAACGTTGAGGGATCAGATCCCCTAACCGGCCAGCCACCAAAAACAAAACGAAAAAAGATCAGATTTTGGCTGGCTGGTTAGTTGAGTTGGTTAGAACACAGCCTTATAACACCAAGATCATGGGTTCTGATCCCTGTACCAGCCAGCTGCAAATAAATAAATAAATAATAAAAATTGAAAAAATATAATAAATGAGCTCTGCTGCCGGCTGGTTCACAGCTGTCTGAGCCACGTTCCCTTCACTCCCCGCTCCCCATCCTCCCAGCCATTCTTGGCTGCTCATGTTGCGCAGGACCTTGCCTTTGACCTTCCCTTATTGCTTCACCTTACCTAGGCCTGCCCAGCCTGCCAGCTGGGCTCCTCCCCTCACCTGAGCCTGCTCACCTGGAGCCTCACCTGCAGCTCTTCCTCCAGCATCCCCCCCACCACCTCTGCAGCCAGCCATTCTAGGTCCAGGCGACTCCTGCTGAGGGGCAGTCATTCTCTTACCAGCCCGTGGCCCTGAACACTTGCCCTCTCCAAAATGTCACCAGGTGACTTCTCCACAGTGAGCTGTGCTGATGCTCCTCAACCTCAGTTCCTCCCATCACTCTGTCCACAGTCATTTCCTTCTACTGCATTTTTTCCTTTGCTCCCTTAGGCCCCCAACCCCCTTCTTTCATTCTGTCCACTATTCTCTGGGTCGCAGACCTTTCTAACCACCCCATACCCCATGAAAGCAACACCACAAATTCCCCTGTGCCTGGTCACCAAGATTGAAACCCCACCCTGATGTTTAACATCAGGAGAAAGAAGGGAACTCTCCACTTTCTGATGAACACACAGATGCCTTGAGCCCCACCAGTCAGGTTACCTCTGTGGGAGAGGGACACTGGAGGGGACTCTCCTCCAGAACACACTTTGACAGAAGGAGAGGTCACTGGATACCTCCTGGTTGCCAGGGAGAAAAGGGCTCCCAGAGGTAGAGCCTAGAGTTGCCCTCAAGATCTCTCCTCATTGGGCATTCCCCAGCTGGCCCAATGCTGAGGCAAACTGGGGGGGTGCCTTTGTTCCTTCCCCCCGATCCCCTTTCCATCTTCTGGTAAGGGCAGGGATGGACTTGAGCTAATTGTCACTCTTCTCCCAAGCCAACCTGGGCTCCCCTAATGTTGCAGCTCCTCCCACCTTCCCTGGTGAGTCCTGTAGCCCCACTTTTCAGTACTGATTCCTCCCCCAGCTCCATCTTCCACTTACAGGTCAAAACGGAGGTTCTGCTTCTCCTCGAAGAAGTAATCCACAATGAACTTGCGCACGAAGTCCGGATTGAGAGTGTTGTCGATGACTTCAGTGCGCCCGAACTGCAAGAGAAGATGGGGCGTGGACCTCAGGGCCAGGCGGTGGGGCAGGGGACAGCACTGGGCTCGGAGCCCCTCAGTCCTGGCTCTCTAGGCTCCTGCCCCCATCCCCTCCCAGCAAGTCATGAGCTCCTCCATCTAACAATGAAAACCATCCATGTTATGGCTCCAATCTACATGTCAGCTTTATTCTCCTTTTGTCTATGCTCCACCCCAGTTGGATGCTTTTATCCCTGAGCAGGCCCTTAACCTTCCTACCTCACTGCCTTTGCCTATGCTATGCCCTTCACCTGGCCTCCTCTTCTCTGCCAGTGGCATGTGCTCCATTCCTTCAAGGTCTGTTGCTAATGCTGACTCCTCCAGGAAACCCTCCTGATTCCTCAACCATTGAGTTTTACTTCTCTGAGCCTCTACTGAACTTGTGCCTACCCCTATGGCCACCATTCTTCTCTGATGGATTCCACCATTGGTGTGTACTTATTTGATATCCCAAGTATAAACACAAGGGCAGAAACATGGATTGTGGGAGGCAGCCTCCCAAAAGATTCCCACCTCTTGGTATTCTTGACCTTGTATAAAATCCCCTACTCTTGAATGCAAGCTGGACCCGGTGACACACTTCCAATACACAGAATATTGCACAAGTCGTAGGATGTCACTTTCGAGAGTATGTTATAAATGACTCTGACTTCCGTCTCGGGTGCCCTCTTGCTCTGTCTTGCTTGCTCACTTTGATAAAGCCAGCTGCCATGTTGCAAGCTGCCCCATGGAGAGGATGGCAAGGAAATGAGGGAGGCCTCGGGCCAACAGCCCGCGAGGAATCACAGCTGTCAGTCCACCCACCTGCAAGATATTACATCCTGCCAACAACCACTGAGAGAGCTTGGAAGCAAATCCTGTCCAATTGAATCTTGAGATGATTGAGGCCGTTGCCAACACCTGCACTGCAGCCTTGTGAGAGACCCTGAGCCACAGGACCCAGCAAAGCTGCACCCAGATTCCTGGTTTAAACCACTAAGTTCTGAGGTAACCTGTTACTCAGCAATAGATAACTAATATAGAGACTTAATTTTCTTGGTTTCCCTTGCAGCAGATACTCTAGAATTTTATGCACAATAGACACTCGATAATTGAATCCCATTAAACTTCCCAGTGACTTTAGGCAAGTCACTCCCCATCTCTGGGCATCAGAATCACCCACAGGATTTGTTAACATACAGATTGTGGCCTCACCCCCAGAGGTTCTGTTTCAGTAGGTCTAGAGTAGGGCCTGAGAACTGGCATTTTATAGTCCTCAGGTGCTCCTGATGCTTCTGGTCTGGGGACCCCACTTTGAGAATCACTGGACTGGACTGTGGTCCGTGGCTTCCCATGCCATGGAGGAGGGCAGCGTGGGTATAATTCCAGGCCAACCATTCCATCAAAGCAGATCTCCTTTACATCTGCTCAATATACTGGACATTTTGGGCAAGATTTTGTTTCAAAAAAGTGCTATAGAGCTAAAAGGTAAAGTATAAAACCACTGCACTTACAGTAGAATAGCATTCAGCCTTAAGAAGGAAGGAAATCCTGTCACGTGCTACAACATGGACTAACCTAATAAACCAGTCACAAAAGGTCAGATAATTTATGATTCCACTTATACGAGGCATCTAAAGCAGCCAAATTCATAGAAACAGAATGTAGGATTGTGGTTACCAGGGGCTGGGTGGAGGGAGAGAAGGGGAGTTGTTTAATGGGCATAGAGTTTCAGATTTGCAAGATTAAAAAGTTCCAGAGACCTGATTCACAACGATGCAAATACACTTAACACTACTAAACTTAAAAATGATTATGATGCTAAATTTTATGTTACGCGTTGTTTTTTTTTTAAACCACAACTAGAAAACAACAACAAAAAAAGCTACTGCACTGTATACTCCATGAAAGCAGGGGCACTGTTCATGATAATGTTCCCCAGAGTCTCAAAGTAAATAAGACAGGTAGGTGCAAGATGAAATATTTTAAATAGATTGTTAATGTATTTTAATACATTAGCATGCTTTTTTGACTTAGAAAGTAATTGCTAAAATTAAAAAAAAAAAATCCTGAGTATGAATCTTCCTTGATGAGGCTCTGCAGTCCAGGAAATTGCCAGCACATGTTGTGGCCAACACCCTGGGTTACCTGGGACTTATCCCGAGTGTCTCCTTCTACCCAGAATTAAGATAGAAACCTGCAAAGGGAGCTCCCCACTCTGGGCAGTGTGGGGTCCTCTGAGAGCACTAGATTTGGTGCCTTTTTGTCCCTCACCCCCTCATCGAATCAACCTCCCCTTCCAGTCAGTCCCATCTGTTAACTGTCTCTCCTGTCCCTGCCTCCTCTGCAGTGGCCCTGGTCAGGCCTACCCACTCTCTCATCTTAGCTATGGTGGCAGCCTCCTGACGGCCCCCATATGGGCCAGTTCCTAATGCTTGAAGCCTCAGCTCCCCAACACTCCCCTGTGCATCCATGATCCTCTTCGCAGCATCTCTAATGCTGCGTGTACCACGTTGCCTGACAGCGAATCACAGTGCTGAGTCTCTTTCTAGACCATTAGACTATGAGCTTTGTAAGCAGCAGGAGAATCCAAGTTCTCGTCTTTGCAGCCCAGGACCTGACACAGTGTTTAACACAGAGTCATGAGCTCATAGCCACAGATAATAATAGCTAATGTTTACTAAGCACATACAATGCACCAGGAACCGTTTTAAACATTTTATGCCATGCTACTATGCAATGCTTTTGTGGTAGCCTTCCCCATTTTATAGATGAGAAAATGGCAGTACAGAAAAGCTAAGAAATTTGTCCAAGGTCACGCCACTAATAATTACTGACTTTGAGGCAGAACCCTGGCATGGGCCCACACCATCTAGGCCATGTTGCATTACATGTAAGGTTGGGAGGGCAAGGACTGCCTGTTACTTCTGCTCACTGCCACCAGTGATTGCTACGCAGTAGGTACTCATGAGTTGTTGAATGGATTAAGGTTAAAAAAGGAAATGGATGAATGGGTTTGAGACCCAACTTCATCACAAGCTAATTGTATGATTTGATCAGAGCCTTTCAGAGCCACAGTTCCCTCATCAGAAGCTGCAGGACAATACTACTAGTCCTACTTACTTCCTAAGTTACCATTCAATTCAATTATTAACTCAACAGTGTTTATGCACTCATTGTAGGCCAGGCAGTGTGCTTGGTACTGAGCTACAAAAATTAATACAACAGGAACCCTGTACTTAAAGAATACTCTATCATAGGTGGGACAACTCATAAACAAACAACCACAGTACGGTGTGATAATAGTGATAACAGAGCTACATACAAAGGCCTGTGGCAGGGTCCTCACTCCTGACTGTACCTTAGAATCCCTGGGGAAGCGTGAAAGACACTGGAATGGACAGAAAAAGCAGATTATAGGGCGTCCTGTTTACCGTACTGGTTCAGGTATCCACAGGGGTCTGCACCTTTATCTTTGAGCTACTTTACAACTATATAAAATGTACAAAGCACAGAGTAAAGCAAATGATTCTTGTACATAGAAATACAAATGAACTTTATAAGTGAAATGCAATTGGTTATTACCCTGTGGATATTGACCAATTTTGCATCCATTTGTAAATTCATTTCAGCATTCCTGATTGTCTCTATGTATACATTGTTTGAATTATCTGAACTGGTTGTAACATCTTACTGGTTTCCTCATTAATTAACAAGTTAAATAAATCTTTGTCATGTGTTCATTTTGTATTTGCATGGGAGTCATGATTTTACCTTTTTAAAAAATATATCCTGGGGCAGCCCGTGGCTCACTTTGGAGAGCGTGGTGCTGACAACACCAAGTCAAGGGTTAAGATCCCCTTACCGGTCATCTTTAAAAAAAAAAAAAATGCACCTGTTAAAGGATATATATATATATATATATATATAATTAAAAAAAATTTTTTTTGGAGACGGGCCACACCGCGCTCAGCCAGTGAGCGCTGTGAGTGCACCGGCCATCCCTACATAGGATCCAAACCCGCGATGGGAGCGCTGCTGCACTCCCAGCGCCGTGCTCTCTCGAGTGCGCCACGGGCTCGGCCTTTTTTTTTTAAAGATGACCGGTAAGGGGATCTCAGCCCTTGGCTTGGTGTTGTCAGCACCACACTCTCCCAGTGAGCAAACCGGCCATCCCTATATGGGATCCGAACCCGTGGCCTTGGTATTATCAGCACCGCACTCTCCCGAGTGAGCCACAGGCCGGCCCAACGGGTGCTTTTTAAAAATACCCATGCTCAAGCCCCACTACAAACCAATTAAATCAGAATCTCAGTGGGTGGGGCCTGAACAACCATGCTTTTTAAAAGTTCCCTAGGTGATTCTAACGTGCAGATGGAGTTGAGAACTACTAATGAATGAAAATACAGCAGGAGGAAGGAAAAAACTGACATGTACTGAGCCCGTACTGAATGCTCAATAGATCAGGTGGATCACTAAATTATCTCATTTGATTCTTACAATAATGCTGTATGAATTATTACCCATTTTACAAATGAAGAAACTGAGACTCAGAGAGGTTAATTAACTAGCCCAAGGTCACACAGGTAGGCAGAGCTGGGATCTAAACCCAGGCACATCGAACTCCAAAGTCCATTATATTTTTACTTTATCAAACTGCAAGGGGTCATCAAGCATTATGGAAATTAAATAAAGATGAGGTTTACTTCATATGCATTTATAGAAGGCCCACTGTGTGCAAGGCCATGGGGAGGACATCAGGTTGACTAAGACTGATTCCCATCCCACCCCCTAATTCAGTAACAACCTTACTGTGTACATATAACCCTTGTTCTGAAAGAGTTCCTGCATTCTCCTCTCTTGCTTTTTCTAAATTATTATTTTTTTTTTGGCAGCTGGCTGGTAACAGGGATCAAACCCTCGACCTCAGTGTTATCAGCACCACGCTCTAACCAATTGAGCTAACCGGGATTCTTAATACTGCC